AACTTGTTAACTCAATAGCTATGTAAGTCAGAGGCAGTGCCTGTCAGGGGCAAGAATTTTTCTCGGATATAATGTGAAGCCCAAGCAGCCTATAAAATGGGTGTCGATATCGTAAGACAGAGATGGTCGGAGGGTGATGCTTTACATTCACGATTCTATTCGTCTTTGTGATGTAGTGTTTGCACACTGAGAATGTTACCGGTTATATTTATTAGATTTATTCAAAACCTGGCAACTCATATAACTCAACATCTGAAAGAAATGACAGCCAATATCAGACGAAACTTCTGTGGACAGACAAACCTAAGATTATATATTAAACGACAAGATAATACACGTCCATAAAGGTTTCATGGCATGCAAATTTAGAACAAGTACAGGATTTTCAATTATTCTCCACATTCTAGGTCTTTACTGGTTGTTTATTCTTGATTTACTTAACGACACCTCTCAATCAAATGTTAGAATGACTGCTAATGACAAAATTGGAAAGGGAACCGAAGACACTGATCGTGACCTATTTTAAGGCATACCTACTATTCCAGTATTTGCATGGAAGAGACTGAGACAACCATAGTAGACCTTCGTCACCAGGTTCTGTCAGAATTAACACGAGTTCCAACAACTTCAACTTTGAGGTCCTGTCTGTAGCGGTTCTAACATCAGCCTTAATGCGAACCGCCTAGAGTAGACCATCATCAGTGCAGTGAGACAAAGTTTACGTAAACTTCGCAATATATATGCTGCATCTAACCGTATAATAAGCAATGTTGGTTGCTTGGTTGTTCATTTTCGGTTGTTAAGAGATTCTGGGCCGTATGTGATAATGTTCATGAATGTGTGTTCCCACAATGCAGCACAATTATTACAACCTCGATATAAGATTGAATTTCTGATTGTGGTACATTAAATTGCATTAATATTCTTTAATTAAGCGAAGATAAGCAATGTTTTGTGTTATACACAATTAATTTAAATTTTGTAATGCTTCTTTGTGGAAACAACTGAACTAGAAGACTGTTCACTCACACGGCCTTCTATGTGCATGTACTTCTATACGTACAACGCAGCAAAACAGATGTTTGCGTGTTAACTCTTCGCACCTTCCGTAACTAAGCAAAGATAAGTAACGAATTTAATTTTTAAGTTCTGCTCAGTTGCGCTTTTCAACAAAAATGTGTTTTAAGCTCTACTTTAAATTTCCCCGTCAATTTTGTAGTTAAATTATACTGCATTATATTAAATATAAATCCTTTTAATGTAGTTTATATAATGCAACTTATTTTTCAGACATCTGATGTAAGTATTCAGCGAAGAAAGATGACAATTTGACTTTGGGCAGTGTAATATTTATACTGTTTACTAGGTCAACGGTGTATTTTTATCTCTGCTAAATACGCATCAGTACGAAAGACGGGTGCGAAGTAGTACAGAACACATTTAGATCTTACACCGAGCCCAAATTTGTGTGTACTTTTTCATGTTTATTTTAAACATTCTACTTATGCCCCAGGTTGTTAAGTATCTGATAGAAGATTTGAACAAACAAATTGTGCCTTATATAAAGGACATCCGACAGCCAAGTTATTTGCTTTGTGTTTGATATTACTCTTGTCTGTTTTCAGAGGTTGATTTATGGGTTTGTCGAGAAATAGGGACAGTATGGGAGTGTGGACTGCATGCAACTGACTCAGGATAGATAGGATTTTATAAACATTTTAATAAACCAGCAGGATAATGGTTTAGCAGGGTGAAATGTACTTTGATAGCTCTGTTAATTAGCTAGCGTCGAATGACATTATTATTATTATTATTATTATTATTACTGTATATTTATATATTCGGTTTTTTTGTATTGTAAGGTTTGTATTTTGTTAGTGCTTGGCTGTTATTGGCGTTTAGGCTGTTGTCAAGCACTTTAATAAATGAATTGAATTGAATTGAATTATTATTATTATTTAAATAATGTTATATATTTAGTTTATTGTTTGTTTGTTTTTGTATTGTTAGTGCTTGGCTGTTATTGGCCTTTTTGGCTGTTGTTAAGCACTTTAATAAATGAATTGAATTGAATTATTGGTATTATGTACTGGGATTGACGTAAAAGGCTGCCGTAGTCTATATTTAGTTACTAGTTTATTTTCTGGGAATGACTGAGGAAAATCACGTAGATTATCTGTCAGTAGCCGTGCTTTTGAACGCAGGGCTTTCCGAATACGACGCAGTATTAATACTTATACCACCATATTTTTATGCTAAGCGGTATTTTGGTTAATCTTCACCCTGAAAACACCTGCATCGCCCCGGAGCAAGTAGTAAATGAATTGCAGCAGCCTGATATATCGGTAATGTTGTGCAATGGTTCTTAACTGGTGGGTCGCGACCAGCAGGAGAGTCGAGAATGATGTGGGGGTGCCAGTGCTGTGTTCAGTTGTTTTGTCGTTGTGCGAGTGTGGGAAGAAACGTACCCCACTCTGGTGTTTGGACCAGTTTCTCGAAGTACTGTAGTAAATTTAATTTAAATTAACTTTTGCAACAACTTTTAATATACGCCCTTAATTCCAAATTGAATCTAAATCTGTCGAGTTGTTTCCGAAATGAAACATACAAATGAACGGACCAATCTTATCCTTATGCTTTCAAGACATTTAAATCTTGCAAAAACGCATAAAATCATATTTAATTCTCATTGTCGTCCATCGTATTTATTTAAGAGACATGTCGGTTTAAAATAGATGGAAGTATTACGAGAATTCGTTGCATTTTAGGGTTTAGAAGGATTATAACAGATTTCGGTTTCACTCGTAACAAAGTCGGGTACACCCAATGGCATAATATTCACGTGACAAACACATTTGCACTAGTTGACGCTGTTTAACTGTAAAATTTCGCAAAAAAAATACAGGTAACAATTTTCTGAATAAAGCAGCAAAGGGGAAGCTAAAAAAGAGCACGCTTTGAGCTGTCTGTAATTTTACACACCGCTTCGTACTAGCCAATGCATCCTATATGTTTCGGCTATAACACTCCTGTGTATTTGAATTTCTTTGAAGCAGTCTCGACTGAAGATAAATAATTAAATTATTAACGTGATTTAAACCTTTCCACGTGGATATGATTTATGGGGATTAACATGTAAAAATAACATGCTCATATATTACGTTGGGATTAATTTAAATACCACATTTTACGTAGAATGTTTAGCATTAGTTTCTATGTATATTTTGAAAGATTTGAGAGGATTAGCATGTAAAACTAACATGACCTTGCATTCTAATGAGATTAGTTATCATGTTTTAGGACTATTACATTCAGTTCTCCAAAATAAAATACGCATGTTCTTATAAAATGACTTAACAATTCTGTAGATTCGTGGTTGTGAGCCGGCGTAGCTCAGTCGGTATAGTGACTGGCTACGGACTGGGCGACCGGGGTTCGATCCCCGACGGGGGCCGAGAATTTTTTTTTTTTCCTCTAGTCTCTGCGTCCAAACCGGCTCTGGGGCCCACCCAGCCTCAAGCCTCCTCTACAATGGGTACCGGGGTCCTTTCCCGGGGTAAAGCACGTCCGGGGCGTGATGCTGACCACTAACCCCCATCTAGTGCCGAGGTCAAGAATGAGTAGGAGCTATACCTCGACTCCCCCCAAGCGCCTACATGGCGTATAGTGGGACAGTTTTGTAGATTCGTGGTTTTAGTCCCGACACGCATTATTTCGGAAGCTTTCGTCGTACTTTGATCAGTTCCCGTAAACTAGGAGTGTCAACCTGTGGCCCACGGCATATGAAAACATATTCAGATGTACCAGTACAGCTCGTTTCACGTGACCAAAAGATTACAGTTCCTTGATCATCCATATCAAAGATAATATTAACCCGATGTAAATAGTTTTAAGCTCTAATACTACCTGACCTCAGTTTGTTTAGACTTTTTTCATTATTGGCCCGCTAGATATTAATTCACGTGCAAGTTATCAAGAAAAATAGCTACAAAGCTTGTACATGTCGCCATTTCTTGCGTCTTACGTTCCCGTATTGTCAAAAATTAATTCGTAACATTTTAACAGTGCACAACTCCACGTGCATAAAACAAAATAGACGAAAGCTTCGCTCTAAACATGACAAGTGTGTGTCAAATGTCAGGGCAGGGCAAAGTTAATAAAATTAAAAATATGCACACAGCATCACGTTATTGAAATTTTGTTTTATGGTATTAGCAATGTTTCTTGAAATGCGGAAGCCTGTCTGCCGCCCCTTCAGCTCGGTGCCCTGGGCGACAACCCAGCCCTCCAGCCCCTGCCGATAACTCCTAAAGAAAAAAATCCTTGTTACTTGTAATGTTTATACACAACGCCAACATTCTCCCAATTCATTGATCCACATTCTTACGGTTTATTACTCACTGTTATTCTTACGCAACACTGTGCAATCAGATTCTCCTAATTAATTCCACGATGCAGCGTATTCCTTCAAAATTTATAGATCAAGAAATGTCCTGTTTCTATGGAAACCATGGTTTATTCATGTTTTCACAGAGATACACCATTGAATTCTATCGTAAATCAGTTGAATCCAGCGTTCACCATCATACCCTAGTCTCTAAGATTTATTTTAATAGTTGCGTCCCATCTAGGCCAGGGTCTATCAAGTGGTGTTTTTTTTAGGTTTAACATTTTTACTTCCCAGCGCTTGCTAAATGCCTCGCCAATCGCAGCTTCCTTGATCTAATCATAATAATAATATAGGTTATGAGTACAACTTATGAAGATCTTTATTGTATTATTTTTTCCACGTTTCTGATATCTGCATTTTTAGGTTGACACGTTGAAAATTATGCATTTATTAAGCAACAAAAATATCGTTTCCATACCTAAATTAACCGTGAAAATTTGGGACATATTAGCAAATAAATATTCAAACACCATTCATAGCAGAGCTCTGCAGCGAAGAAACAAGGAAGGAATCATTATGCTGTCATAGGAAGAACAGAGATGCAACTTACCGCTTGAAATTTTTCGCTCTGTGGGGAGACTGGTTGCACTGTGGAATGACACCGTTTTCGACTTCCGACTGTCGGACGAGGGCTCAGCAATTTTTTGATTCGGAGATGTTCTGTATATTATCGCGCGTCTATTGCTGATGTTAGGCCCAGGGCGATAGGTTCCCCCCGACTCTTTGAACGTGACACCCGGAGTTCGAAGCGCTTCTGCCATCACACACTGGCGTGAACGGGTCACAGGGCCATGGTCCCGTCAACCATCAGCCTGTCTCGCTCTTCGTCTCCAACTGAATCATCGTCCATTCCCTGCCCTCATCCTGCAATGTTTCCCCTACCACATCCCAGCCGTTCTTCCCAGCGTAGGCGGATCCATAAACCTCGACGCTGTGACGTCATAAGGATAAACGCCTCGACGCACCGCGTCGCCTCTGCTTAGCCCTCAGCTCTATGACGCCGCTTACCGGCACAATTTTGTACTAGCTGAGCTGACAGTTCAGTCGGTAATTAGAAACTCTGTATGCAGTCATTTGTTCTTGGTTTAACGACGCTGATGACAGGGACATCTCCGTCAGTTACATGATGTCGAACAGTAGCCTACGATAATTCTCAGTGATGAATTAGGAAGGATGTGGAGGGAAGCATACATGAAGGAAATTAGGAAAACCACGAAACATCTCAGAGAAAATAGGTCAGAGCCGATAATCGAACCCCAATCCTCTTGTGTAATTTATAGGCTCTTACGTCGAATGTCGAAGGTTGAAGACGGTTGTCTTCTAGGTCGTAGAGCCATGTAGTACGGCAGAATTTTACTAACGCTTAAGAGGTGCTTGCTGCCTCCATCATCAGACTACCAGACTACACGGCACTACACCACAGCAGACAGCCATCTTCATACTTGCCTCCATGAGAACCTGAAAACCTACTTGGATTAAGTTGGGTTGCGTTGCGTTAAGTGCAGACGCGGATTGATGTAGCCAATAGAACTGTTACGAGTAGTGGATTCTTATACGATGTTTACACATTATATTATGACATGTTCCACATCCTTGACTTGTACTTGAAGGATCTATGGAATGTAAATAAATTCTAATTCTAATACAGAATTTAAAAGTTTATAATAGCTGACACTAGAGTGACTGAAATAAATGCTTACGTGAAACAAAGCGTGTACTTGGGGGCAGAAACACGAAATTTTTACTGAAAGGTCCACAGGTAGCGCCTTCTCGTCCGTCTGGTAAATGTAAAATTAGTGAAGGTAAGGTATTTGAATGAGAAAAAGGTAGAAAATACATTTATACTCCTACGAAACATGTGCCTATGTACCGTGTAAATATAAAGCCACCGTCCTCCGAAGACTGGTAATGACACTGGCAAATGTATCTACGAGAATGTTTAAAAACTAGCAACGTTTGGATTTTCGTTTACGAACATTACTAGGAACTGTGCGGTTTCGTATTTGCACTCTGTGACCATACGGTCACAGAGTGCAAAATAACTCGTTCATAGAAAATATAGTAATCTTTGGCTGTAAGACCTTTCACAATTCTTAACTATCCATGGAATGTGAATCGTCGTTTGTTTCATGGCGTCGTGTGTTGATATTTGTGGCAGGTACATAACAATAACGTGTAAAATGTGAAGTATTGTACTGTGCAAGATTGACTGCAACAATTTTTAATTTTGTGTTATTTACGTGATGTTTAGTGCACACAACGTTCTACTTATGCACTGTTCGGTGATATTCAATCGGTCGTGTGTGCTCAATACTCTATCCTCGTGAAGGTTAACATGCCCATCATTTTAAACTCTTCGTTTGCTGCATTTGGTACAGTAACGACATTGCTTGTTTTAGTTACTTTGTACATTTTCAATGTGGTATATGAAGTGCAGCCGGTACCATTTCTTGACGAAATATTTCACATTCCACAAGCGGAAAAATACTGTAAGGGACTGTTTGGAGAAGTGAGTACGATGAAAGTAGTTGTGAAAGTCACCGGAGTGTCACATGGCTCACACAGAAAATTCTGAATTATTTAACCAGTGCAGGATGATGGTCACTGGTAGGTCAGGGTACAAAATTGATGCGTAGCAAATGTGGCTTACATGTAGCTCTCCTGTTCTAGCTGTGGCGTTACAAATAAATTATTTCACTCCATGAAAACTGAGCCTCCTATAAACGATATAGTCCTGTGATCCACTGATGCCTGTCATGATACAGAAATTTGTACTCACATGTACTGCCAGTGACCCTTATAGAAGCCAATGTGTTGAGTCTTTACTGCTTCCAAGTATCTGTAATGATATGAATAAAAGTATTTCTTTAATTCACAAAATTTAGTTATGAAAGACTTTTTCAATAATGTGACCACTATCCTTATCACTGGTAGAATTGATTTATAATGTGTTAATTAAGTAAGATTTTTTTAATTCTATTTTTTATTGAACTTTTATTTGTGTATTTCTTTTATAGTGGGATCCAAAAATTACAACTTTGCCTGGCATGTATCTGCTCTCAGTTGGTGTTCTGATGCCACTGTCTTCTGTGTTGGGAATAGATCTCTGTGGAACATACGGTTTACGTATGATGAATGTGTTTGCATGTTTTGCAAACTTCTATATTATGTACAACATACAGAAGAGGCTGTATCCTGAAATGAAGGTAAGTAAGAAATATGTTGTGTGAGAGTTGATGTTTTCACTGCTCTGAAAATCAGGACTGTTGTCTGAATTATGACATGGACTATTTTGCATCATATCCCAGAGGACTGCAATCCATAGTATCTGTAGCTATAGGCTTGATGGTAACAGCATCTTACATTTACAGTAGAGCCAGTTGGTGTATTGCAAAATTGAAGCCTTCTTCAGTGATGTCACTTACCTGAATAATTGTCTGCTCATGCAGGTTAATTAGAAGACTGCAGTTGTAAATTTATCTTCTCGTCATTACAGTTGTGGAGTTTTATCTGCCTATAAAGAAAGAGTTAACTTGTGATGAGGTATGCAGAATCACAGAGAACACATTTAGGAAGTGTGTACACCTTTTCAATGTTGTTTTAAATTTTGTTTATTCTTCCCTTTATTTGTGTGTATAATTGACAGTATACTGTTTACTTTTGAATGTTGGATTTTAATATGCATGACTTATACTTGATTTGACCAGGGTTTGGAGTCATCATTGCAAGTTCTACTCTCTGCTATGAATCTAGCTATATTTCCTCTCCTGTATTTCTTCACATTCCTGTATTATACAGATGCCATTGCAACAGGCCTCATACTCCTCACATATTTGTTGCAGCTAGATGGTTGCACGTTACTTGCTACTCTTACAGGTATGTATGCATTGAAAACCTCAAGGGAAGATTAAATATAAAGTAATAATTATTTTATCAGCAATTTACTGCAACCATTATGGTTGATTGTTAGCACTTCTGCTCAATCTTCAGGTGCTCCTGCATCCATTGATCATAAAAATATTACAAAGTATCGACCTTAATACTATGTTTGATTGTAACTGTAATTCTCACAGAGGAGTGTGTTTACAAGGTACAGTAGACCTTATCCTTCTAGATCCTTACTTATTGGTGATTGCTGATGGTTTTTCTATCTTATTTGTTGGTACATAACCTCTGCAGTCGAAAAGTAGCTTAACTAACTACAGAATTTCACAGCATTTGGCTGTTCACATATGAGGAAACAAATGTATCATTGGAATGGTGAAAATCTACTTCCTACAGTTTTTACTTTTGCATTGTGTTGTGACCAGCTCATATTAATAATTGCATAACTTTTTTTCAGCCTCGATTGCAGTTCTTGTACGTCAGACAAATGTCGTGTGGGTGGCTTTTATTGCTTTTCTTTCAATATCGCATGTGTTGAAATTACACATACTTAAGTATAATAGCAGACTCTCACCAACAGTATCAAGATCTACAAAGTATCTTCAGGTTAGTATTCCATTTTACAGTATATGTTTGTTGTTATAAGATGGCCAATTTTTAAAAGTACTGATTCTGTTTAATGATTTCTCTTTCAATAGTAGCATTGAATCCAGGCACAATGCAAAATGCTTTCCTGTATTTGTGTAGGCATATCTCATTGATTGAGCATTTGGGTTGTATTTAATTCAAATCAGATTTCTTGATTGCTATCCTAACTCATTATTCATTAAGGAAATGAAAGAAGTGGTAAAAATTTGTTTGTAACCCCCCCCCCCTCCCTCTATTGAGATATTTAACAATGGTCACTTTCGTATTTTAGCAGTACTGTTAAGCTGGCTGTTCAGTGTATGATACACCTTAAAACTTGTGCTGAATACTTTTAAGTCCCTTTAACCCTATTACTATTATGAACAGAACATTTCCAATGAGCAGAAGAGTAGGTGAAATGTGCGTTACAGTTGGAATGGTTCTGCAAGGGTAGTGTGCTGTAATATCAATTTTGTTGATATATTGATGTAGTTTAGGCTGATCATAACAGAGGGCAGTCATGATCTTACACATTGCTATTTTAAATGTAAGAACTTTATATTGAAATGTGTGGGTGTCTAAATGCTCACACTAGGATGATTATTGGTTTATTCACTTCTAGGAAATAACTATTAAGTTTCAGGCTCACAAGGCACTGAGTATGAATGTGGTTGTCTAGAATTTGTTCTGTGTAGTCTGGTAGATATTGATATGTTTCAGAGGATCACCAGGATGATAAACTGCTCTGAAACCTTGGTCAGGATATACCAGACTACATCCCAGAAGGCAGCCATCCTCGTTGTAACTGGGAGATTTTGTGGGTGGACATCTACACGGCATGCTATATAATTTTAACATCTGTATTTCTGTTTAAAAGAAATTGAGCTATGGGACAGAGTGGGTGATATAATAATAGATTTATTCACTTTTGAAGACTGGATATGGGTGTTATTTTTATTACAGGTTTTGCTAGACACTCTGCTTCAAACATGGAAACGTGGGTTCACATCTAGAGTACAGTTGGCTCATAACATTCTGTACAATTCTGGAGGCTTCATAGTGATTGGTCTGTGTTTTTTGGGCTTTATCTTTTGGAATGGCGGCCTTGTGGTGGGTGACCGATCAGCACACCAGGCAGTGCTCAATTTTCCACAGCTCTTTTACTTCTCTTTGTTTCTTGTTGTGTTTTGTTTTCCATACATGGTTATGTGTGTGAAGCGAGTTCTGGTGACTGTAATCAAACATTGGATGCTGATTTTAATGCTAATGTTAGGATGCATTGTCATTATTCATTTCAACACACATGTGCATCCGTATTTATTGGCTGATAATAGGCATTACACGTTTTATGTTTGGAAAAGATTGTATGAACGACATTTCTTAATAAGATTCTTGCTAATTCCATTTTACTTATTTGGAGCAATTTCTGTAAACCAGCTTCTAAAAGAAACTGATTTGGCATTCCGAACAGGATACTTCGCTTTCGTTACTTTGTGCCTTGTCCCCCAGAGGTTGTTGGAATTTCGTTACTTTATTGTTCCGTTCTTAATGCTGCGTTTACACATTCGTCTGAAGACATGGTGGCAGTTGGTAGCTGAATTCATTCTATTTGTTTGTATCAATGCTAGTACTATTTATCTTTTCATTACAAGAACTTTTTATTGGCCAGATTCTCAGGAAGTCCAGAGATTTTTGTGGTGAGATTACTTTAAGTATGTTTTTGTTCCTAATTCTATTTTTGCTGTTTGTTGTATAGGAATAGGGAATTTAATTCTTTGTACTGTGTGGCTGCCAGTGAGGCATAAGTATTGTGTTTAATGATTCACACATAAGACATTGTATGTGGTTGATAAAGGTTACATTGAAAATTGGCTTATCATTTTTAACCAAAGAAGTACAGGTAAATGCTTGTAACTGTTATTTGTTAAATACTCTTACAGCAAACTCTCTTAGGTTACATTTACTTCTGTTAGGAATAGCGATGATATGCGTCTGGTTTTGAGCAGTTCTTGTCAAGCTGCGGCGTTTTCCATTGTCTTCACCTTATAGTTTTAATACAACTTGTCAGTACTTTGAAGTTTCTTAGCTGATGTTACATCATTAAATGTATTATTGCCCCAAGAATTTATTTTAATTGTGATTTGTATTGCTTGTTGCTAAATGTCACATCTTATATTTGAGGTTTTGTGGGAGTTTTGATTGTAGTAACTGTAATAAATGAGAAAACACAATTGCATTGGAATATAAATATTGTTTGTATGCCTATTTTTATATTCCAATACACTACACGGTATGCAGAGTTTTAACAATTGCATTGGTTATAAACTGTATACTTCTTCTTCCATTTCTTGACCGTTACTTCGGTCTTCCGGTGCCTAATATTTTTTTCCATTCTTCTCTGTTTTCCCATCCTTCTGGAGGTAGTTTCCACTCTATCATGGTTCTTATAATTCTGTTGTTCCATCCTGGTCTCGGCCTTCCTTTCTTCCATTTCTCTTTTGGTTGCCATTTCATAGTCTTCTTTGGTAACCTTTCCTCCTCCATCCTCTGCCCGTGTCCGTACCAAATCAGTTGTCTTTTCTCTATCTCCTCAATTATATCACGATTCATCCTCATGATTTCTCTAATCCTTTCGTTTCTCTCTTCTGGAAATTCCAGCCGCTCTTCTTAGGAAATCCATTTCCATTATTCTCAACTTTTTTTTTTTTTGTTTCAGGAGTTGCCAAATTTCGGCTCCACAAAGAGCCACGCTTTGTATATTCTCTCTTTCGTTCTTTTTGTGATATTTTTGTCCCATAATATTGTATTTTATTATATAGAGGTTTAGTGTATATCAGTATTCAAGTACAATTGAATCCCTTCTGAGTTCTGCTTTATTAATTGTTAGATCAGAAGGCAACTGTCCTCTTTATTTTGAAACAACATGTGGTTCTGTAGCACAAAATATTTCACTGTGCTTCAGAGCAGTCTGCTTTCAAGACAACTGTATCATAGAGCCAGCTAATCCTTTGCATGTCAGATACTCCATTTCCTTTCTCTCCTTTTTAACAACCCGTTCTTCAAGTGTCTGAGCACATGATTTCATTACTTTCAGGACTCATCCTTTGCCTATGGAAAATATTACATTGTTCACCTCAGGTCCACCAGATCTATCAATCGCACGTTACACGAGCCACCTACCAGGGTCTTATCTGTGTCATTCATTAATTCTTCTAATTGCCCTTTAATTTAGTCACTCATTTTTCCTCCATTTGTTTGCTGACATCTGACTGTTGTGATTACCAAAATAGCTTGCATAACTTCTTTGTTAATTTTCTGTGTTAAAAATACTTAGAACATTTAGTGTTCCGCAATGGTTAGCACTGATTATCAGAGTAGTTTCATGTCTTTGGGTCAAACAAACACTCACTGTGTGACTTAGTCACAAACCAGCAGGAGCAGAATGTTCTTTTTTATAGAGTTTAAAATTTTCTAGCCTGCTCAAATAGAGTATTTTTTAATATATATTATATTTGTATAATTTTGAAATTTTATTTGGGTGTAACTAAAACATAGAAGAGGTCCTCATCTTTCATTGTAAGTTATCAAGACAATTTTGAAATTTGTAGTTTGGTTCAAATTCATTGAAGGCTTGTTAGCATTTCGGCTGCTGTTGAAAAAGGTAAAGTATAAAATGTACAAATTACAATGTTGCTTTTTTTATGGGTGTCAAACTTGTGCTTCCATATTTTTTTTATTGTTATTATGGAGTGAACTGTGTGTTTGTGGATCTGCAGTCACTAGCGGACTTGTGTGAAAATGTCAGTGAAACTTCTGTATCCAAAGAAGGCTAAGAATTTCCTGAGTAGCTGAGTGACAGTTAGCTTGTCAAAAAGGATTCTTCTCTATGGAGAATTGGTGAACCTGAAATAAATTTGAGTTTTTAAAGTGTGGCTGGAGTAAGATTTGAAGCTCTCACAGCAATGGCTGCCTTCTGAGATGTGCCTGTAGTCTGGTAGATACAGATTTACATTACTACATTACTTTGTCTTATGGGTAATTATTTTGGTTTAGAAGTTTACCTTTTCAATTTGTTTAACTCTGGTTTGCAGTGTTGATATTACAGTATGTAGAATACACATCATCATGAATTTAAACCAAATAGGTAATCCTCCATTTTTTTAGATGTAGTCCTGTGTATTCATGTTCCTTCAGAAGAAGCTTTTTAGTTTTGTACATGGAAAATGTTAAAGAACAAACTCTGTTCTTATCTCTTACTCCAATTTGTTTCAAAAAATATAATTTGCAAACAGTACTGGAATAATTTAATTTAATGATGGAGTAAGAAAAATACTAAATCTTGAAACCCATATCGAAATCATGGACCGGCGTACACCTTGGAAAATTGGCAGTTGAACGAAATAATTTTATTCACCGAGTTCAGTTGTGTGCACAAAAGGCTCTGTCCAGTATAACTACCTCTACTGGCATTATTCTTTTGTTACACAGCCTGATTCTTATAACTATATATTTGCTTTATGCTACTATTCTCATGTATTCCTTAATTTTACAGCTTGATTATGGTTTACCATTCTTTGTAGGCTACCTCTGCATTAATAATATGCCATTTCGTACTAAAAGATTTTCACTCTACTTCCTCGTCTCGAAATATTTTAATACTGTATGTAAATCATCTCCTTGACTGACAGAACATATCTCTTTCTCTGATCCTTAGCCCACTCCTCTCGTTGCATTTGTTATTTCTTTGATTGCCCTACTGATGTGATCATCCATGATGTGGCGTGAAGAATGGCTCTGGAATTTAAGTGTAAGCCAAAGAGTACGCCCCTCCAATCTTGTTATATTGTTATTTTTGTCTTTGTGGAACTATGGCACATTGGCCATTCCCCAGGTGATTCTTAAGCGAATATGGAGCATCGGAGAAGTCATAGGGGCATATAGAATAAAAATTCTTTTGGGGAATTTCTTGGCAAGCTGGG